ACTGTATAGAATTTGTTGCAGCAACTGTCGCTTTTATTTCATTATTAATATTTTTCTTGGAAATCGCAGAAAAGAAAATATCGACCTACAGAACAAGGAAATGTCGATGAAGAAGGCGGCAGCCAAAGGAAGCAAAGCCGAACAAAAGGCCAAAAAGAAACTAGTCGACGATGAGATACACCATCTCTCCACAAAGCTCAAACAAAGGCAAGCGGACGAGCTCGCCTCCTTAGGCTACAGCAGCAGCACCAGTGAAAGCCAGAAAGGAAAAAATCTCGATAGTCTCGTAAAGGCCATTGCTGGTGTCTCGATCACAAACCAGGCCGAACAATCTAAGCCCAGCAAGAGCCTCAAACGTCGCGAAAAACGGGCCCAAAAGGAGGCGGCCCGTGAACAGAGAATACAAGACGAGCAGAGCCAGATTGTGAGTGACAGGTCAATCGAGGACGAAAAGCTGGCTAAAAAACTCGGCCCACTTGGGTTCACAATCAATGATATAAAGCCCGATGGGCACTGCCTTTATCGGGCTGTGGAGGATCAATTGGGCCTTCAGTCCGGTGGCCCATCTCCCTATACCTACCATGAGCTTCGTCAGATGGTGGCTGCATACATGAGGGAGCACAAGTTGGATTTTCTGCCTTTTTTTCTTTCGGAAAATGCAGAAGATGATGAAAGTGAGGAGTCTATGGAAGAGAGGTTTGAGAATTATTGCAAGGAAATCGAGTCGACTGCTGCGTGGGGCGGGCAGTTGGAAATTGGGGCTTTGACACATTGTTTGAAGAAACATATAGTGATATTTTCTGGGTCATTTCCGGATGTGGAGATGGGGAAGGAGTATAAATGCGGCTCGCCTAGTTCGAGTATTATGTTGTCTTATCATCGGCATGCGTTTGGGCTAGGCGAGCATTATAATTCTGTTGTCCCCATTTCTTAATGGTAGGTTTTGATAGAGAAGTTTATGAGAGAATCTTGGATTGACATCTATATATGTGTGTGTGTGTGTGCGCGCGCGCGTTTGTTATACATTAGTAAAATTGAACCGTGGATGGTGAGTTGAAGTCGAAGTTGGTTTTCTTATGTTGATCTTCATGTTGGGGATGCTAAGTAGTGGATTTGCAGAAGTTTTGAGAAGCGATGCATTTGTGTTTTTAATTGCCGTGAGAATTTTGGTATTAATTGGTTTTCTTGATGTTGACTGTTTGCTGAAAACTATAGAACCCTTTGCTCAAGTACCGAGAAGATGAATAAAGAAACATGTAGTTCAATGTACGATGCATTATTGGCATTTTAGGGGTGTAGTTGAAGCCAAACTGTCGGATTCTTTCGTGTTGTGCTTGTTAGAAAAGTAGCTGTTTTGACATGTATAACGCAGTCGCCTTAAAAACTTTCATCTTTTTTTTTTTTTTTTTTTTTNTGCTTGTATCATTTAATTCACATTTAAGAAAAAATATAGTTCATTTAAGAAAAAACATTGGATGGCAAATTATTATTAGTTTTTCCAATGATTCTTCTATCATATTTTCAGTTCAAATCAGAATTCAGTTTTGTTCTAACACATAATATCAAAAATCAGTTATATCCTTATTTCATTTATATCCAAATAATCTTAGGTCAATATTCCCTAACTTAAAATTTCAAAATAACAGGCACATATAAATGGCAGCAAAATTGTTTCACATTCCTACATTTCAAAAAACCAACGTACATGGATTATTGGAGAAAATTGGCATGTTGAACCTCCAATCCTCAAATGTTAGTGTCCTAGGTGAGAGAGAGTGAGCTTCTCTGCAGACGTGTTCTTAGCTCGTCTAGTAAAAATATCTTTTACACTGAGTTATTAAACCTACACATAAGCTTCAAGTCAGTAGATCTCAGCTTTCACATCTCCTACATGCCGTCATCTTCAACTCTGGCCTTTAAGTGCCCTCATGGTTTTTATCCGTATTTCCATTTCGAACACATTAAATCGAGATCTTGCTTCAGGGTCTTCAAAAGATGAGGAATTGCCAACTGCCAGGTAGATATTATTAGTCATTCACCTTTGGAAATGACTACAAAAACATCGTCAATAGACCATTTACGAGGCATTAACTTGTTCACGGGGTTAATCACTGCACGCTCGTCTGTCGCCAGTCGGTATCCTATCACAATCTCCTCTCTTTGGCGCCCTCTAACCATTATCTCAAAGAAACTGATTTCTTCCTGGTCATATAGATAAAATTCTCCCGGCTTTATGCACATCTCATTTCCCTGCATATGGAGGAGTCATAAACATTTCCTCTCAGGTAGTTAATTATTTTTTCAAGAGAGATTGAGAAAAAAGTACCTTTTCTGCAAACAGTTCTTCTAACACACGATTGATTTGTTTGTCCTCTGCCACCATGGCTAGAGCCATGCTTACCAGCTCATTTGATAGTACGTAATCGCTAATCCTAGTCACAGACACGAGATTTCTGGTTCTAGAATCCAATATCTCGCTTATAATTATGGACTTGTCTGAAGCTTGCTGCATTTCCCGAATCCATGAACTTTGGGAAAAAACGGAATGCCTTAGAGAAGGGGACTTAGCTTCTCTTGAAGGAAGCCGCTTTGACTGCAGCAGGACAGATGTTTTAATTAGTTTCGACAATGCCACTTTCTTTTTGCTCTACCCATCCATTATGAGAATCAAACATGAAGCGGCAATAATCAGAATATATTTGTGGATATGGATTGAATAGCATATGAATAGTTTTTTGTAATCAAGTAGGAATTAAGAGGAAATAAATGATAAAATAATAATAAAAAAGAAAGGAACAGAACAGAAAGATGAATGATAAAAAATAAGAAATCAAAATGTGGAGTGAAAATAAATAAGTCCCAACTGGATTACAGGGAGAGAAATGACCTGTATGTCTCTTATAAGAAGGAGAGTGGCAAGAGATCGTGAATCAGAGTGAACAATAGAGTCTTCCACGGATTCATCTGCAAGAATTAAAATCTGTTCTTTAAGTGTTAGTAATAGCCACAGCACCTTGAACTAGAAACTGAAACTTTAAAAAATTTCTTTCACCGATAATTACAGTTCAGATGCAAAGGCCCAAAGATAATCAGGTCTAGCTTTAATAGAGTTTGTACAACTAGCAAACGAATGAAGTTTAAGTGAAGCCAAATTTTCCTTGGCACCCTATACATATAAATCCTACCTGATGGCTTGTCTCCAAAGCATTTTCCCTAACAATAAAGGGGGTTAAAGTATTTTTTTGGATAAGTGAAGCACAAGCAACCATACTTCTTTCTGGCATAGGACGTCGGCAAAACCAATTTTAAAGGTGAAGCTTCTATCAGGATTATTTAGTTTAAGTTACAGTACTATGGGGAGCAGTTCAATTTTGTATTTCGAAAATCTGGTAAAGGAATCATTTACAGTAATGCACTACGTACTCTAAGAAAATATTTCTTTCAATTGCTTACTTAAAAAATGAAAGTTCAAAAGCAACTTCTTCAAACAAATTTCAAATAGCAGTTCTGCTCACAGAGAATTCATATATTTGACGACAATTTTCACTTTATATTCCACCATACCCATATACAACACTGTTAATTGAAAAAATTGATAGTTTTACAACAAAAATGAAATAAAATAACTTATAATTACAAAAAATAAATGCACAATAAATAATAAAGAACTTACACATTAATATTATTCAACATGAAACTCAATTTGTCAAAAACTTATGATTTTTTTTTATTATTTATAATATTATATATTTATAAAACAAATATTATCTACAATACCATAAATTCTATTTCAAATTTAATTTTTCAAAAGCCTCATAGCATTGTAATTATATTTTCTATTTATAGAGTTGGTCTCTCTCATATATAAAACTTTCAAGTATCTTAATTTATAAGATTTGGTGATTTAAAATATAAACTAATATGTACAATTGTGATGTGTTCTAACTTTATGAAAAATAAAAAATATTTGTATTATTTTAATTATGATACCCATTTATGTTTTTTATTTTCAATATCATAATAACATTCAAACTCTCTATATACTTTATTGAAATCGAGGCGTATTTTTTTTAAAAAAAATTCTTAATATTCATTCACATTTTTTCCCAGGTCTATAAGAACAATACACTAAAATTTGCTTTATAGTGTATTAATAAATATTTTTTTATTTTACAACCTAAATTAAAGTTTTAATTGATATTTTTTAATTTGATTTGATAATTAAATTTAAATTTATTTATGAAGACATATGAAATTACTTTCATATTATATATACTATAAGTGTCAAATTAAAATCCTTTAAAAGATGATTATTTTTTATATCATATATGAAAAGTAACATACGCGTTTAAATTTAAAAAGTAAGAAGAATACATATTTGTATTAATTAATATATGAAGTAAATAAGAAAAGGAAAGGTAATATATAATTATTTAAGAAAAGGAAAATTAATATATTATGATTTAAAAGATAAAATAGCTTTATGGTAATTCTCAAACCTAGTTGTTAAAACCAAACTTGTACATGTGTCAATACGAATTACAAATTTATGTCAAGTAAGCTTTTGAAGCGTGCAGTGTGCCATTTAGCCTCAGCATGCTCTGACCTAATATATAATGGGATATACGGGGTATTTAAACATCTCTCTTCGAAATAGAAGAATTGTGGCAAGTGAAATTTGGTTTCCCCCCAAAATACTTATTCTTAAGTTTCTCGAGCACTTAAGCATAGAACAAGAGAAATATGTTTCACTATTTATTAGAAGCATTTAAAATATAATCTTCTCTGTTTGGATTTTTGAGTTTCCTTCTATAGATTCACATTTTGTAAAGCCCATTAATGGATTGATACTCATCATCAAGCAAACCTAATTGAAAATTAATTTGATCCAACACAGTCAGGCACTTAGTTTGAATCCATCATTGGAATTAAACAATTCAATTTCTGAAGCTTTCTATCCAAAGCCAGCATTCAAAAATACCATATCGCCAAAATTTCTAAAATTATAATGAAGTAATTTCATCTTCTTCGGTTGGTGATACTTGGATCCCAACAGTAGAATGTCATACTTACAGAATCAAATGTCTCAAGTGGAAGGCTCTCCAAATGTCTTCGGATGACAGCATTCCCTTCGCGATGGACTAGTTTCAAGTTTACCAATCCTGAAATGTCAAGTCCACCATCAGTCAACTTCTTTTCTCTGTCCTTTTCAGGTACCTCATTGAACATCCATAATTCTGATCCCGGAGCCAAAAATGCTTCCAATACCTAAATATTAAAGGTATAAAAAAAGAATCATTAGTAAGATAATAATTAAATCTAAAAAAAAAATAAAAATGACAAATTGTATATGTGAGGCAATGAATCACCATTATCATATCCTGAATGTCACGCCGCCAACCGCAAAATAGAATCTTTTCTGGAAATTTTGGAGGATTGGTTATTCTAGGAGTTAGGCCCTTCCGTATCTGCACCAAATACTGTGCACATGTGAAAACCACATTGCTAAAAATAGGTATTGCGCGTGTTTAAAGCAACATATGTAAGGCCTCTACTCTAATGAATCATATAGTTAAGAGTCAAGAGGATGACCTTTGGTAAGGGAGCAGGGGCATATGTGTCATCATCCTCAGCTATTACAAGGATTTCGTCGCCTTCTCGTATAACATAGTCATCATCTGGATTTATTCTGATCTTTCCACCCTCTGCAGATATTTTAACTCCACAAGGAATTGCATCGGGGAAAGAGATGAGAACATCCTCAAAACAACATCCATCCAATTCAGGCCATCTTTTGATATAGAACTCTGCATTTTCAAAACCCAGAATGTCTTCCCATATCTGCAAAGTCGGAACAAATTCAATGTCACCCAAAAATAATGAAATTGCGTCAGCAAGACTGCAAGGAACTTCTCTGAGTGAGTCGATTGTATGATCACCACGACTTTTTACTGGTCAGTTGCATACCAAGAAGGGAAACATAAAGCATTGTAAAGTGTGACTTATCTGACATAGATGTCATCATTTATTATTCATCAGGTTCTAATATAAAAATATCTCCGTAAAAGGTATTCTTGGACAATTCAGCTATATATTTCTGTTCATCAACTTATCAATGGTTACCCCTTTATTTGAACAGCATTACTTAATAATTTTGTAATTGCTCCTTCATAATTGGGTTGGGTGATCTCAGACAGACCATCTCTGTTTCAATAATTTGACATGTAGATACTTTCTCCTTTTTTTAAGAAAAAATTACGTACCGTTTTTCTCTGATCACCATGATATTATCAATAATATGTATTGAGTATTTGAGTGCAATCACGTTGAAAGAAGGACAAACAAAAATCAAGAAATCCCGCTTTCATTTGTTTATGAGATATATATACCACAATGAGAAGAAGATTTACAGAAGCACACTTGCTAACCTGTGCAAGGCCAGGCTGGAGAGCACATTGTATCATAAGTCGTCCAATCACATCATGAGCAACTACTGTCTCGATGAGTTCTCCTCCAACAAGCTTCACCAAGGGTTCATTGTCAAGATCACTCATTTCTACAACAACATGGCCCCTCAGGCTTTCTTTTACTCCAGTTAAACTAAGCACAACCCTTAGAGCCCGCGCATCGCTCTGAATATAAAATTCCGAAATAGTTAGTCAGATAGTCCTGCCAAACATCGACCCCACAATAAGAGATTCTAGAATAAAACCTGATCAGCATTCTCATCAGAAGCTAATACTATGATTGCGCGTGCCTTAGAGACAGAGACCTATTTATATGAGAAGATAAGACATGACAGTATAATCAGAGGGTATAGGAAATGGATCATGATAAATTCAGCTCTAATCATAATTAGAAATAAATAGCAGTATTGACAAAGAAAAAAGTTTTGGGTTGATGTACCTTTTTTAAGTCGGCAAGTATAAGAGGGCTACCACTTCTGCAGATAACTGATGTTCCCATCAAGTTGAATTCAAGCTTTGCAATATCCATCTCCATTTCCTCCTTGTCCCTTTCTGCAAGTACAACAATAACACCACCGCCAATGCTTTTGTTCGCTATTGCTAACTGCTTCAAAAGTGAACCCTGTAGCATATAAAAACACACCTCTAGATGAAGACATTAATTTGAGTAGTGGAGAGGTACACACTAGAATGGAATGAAGAGTACTGGGCTTTGGTAGTTTTTAGGGAAAATACTAGGAGCGCAGTTACAAAAAATCAATATACCTTGAGCTGGATAATGGTTCAGAACTAACTCATATACATGAAACAGATGTACTTCTAGGTCCAGCTTAGGAAACAGAAATGCAACTGCTGAATGGCTCAACTGATTGGTAAATCAATCTATCTAGCAAGTTTTGAATCCATAAAGAACTCTTGTTTACAAAATTATTATTATGACAAATTACACTTAAGAGAATGAAAAAAAAAGTTACATTAATATATTTTGAAGACAACAGTCACTACCCTTCAAGATTAGCTAATATACTCAGTCGCATAAGTTCCCAAAAATAAATTAAAAGGCAAGGTCAATTTTTTAAGAGCATTACCAACTTGTCACTCCATCCGAGAATGAGAATATGGTTACTTTCAATGACCTCACTCTTTCCCTTACGCAATGAGTCCACCTTCTCTGAAATAGCATCTGAAACAAGCCCCAGCATCATGGCAAATATTAGCATGCCTCCTGAGCTTATAGAAACTGAAACAATCCGTGGCCCAATTCCAACCCTATCAGCATGACTTCCTGAATCTGCTACAAAGGTCCAAGAAAGCCAAAGAGCTTCAGATAAGCTGCTATCACTAACACCATACAGTGCCACGCCTCCAAACCCAATGACAAACAGAGTGGCAAAGAGAAGTGCAAGCAGCTTTGCGTAAGGATAGACAGAGAAACAAACGTCCACCATATAGGCAATTCTCTTCTTCAGGGGAACCTCTTCTTTTCCGTCCTTTTCCCTCTTTAAAAGTGTTATGACTCGTGGAAGATAATTGAGATATTTATACATTACAAATGGTGTTAGGAGTGTAACAATAACTGTGTATAGAGCTATTGCTCTAGTGTCGGTATTCCCTAAATACAAAGCTGAACGATCATTTTCAAGTTCCAAACTTCCAATGCCCTTGCTATCAATAACATTTTCAGGACTGCAAAATGTACGGAGGTAGGTGTTCTCTTCCTGCAATAATATCAGCTTCTCCATCAGATATTGATGAAATGGTATGTTCACTCTGTCATTTTGATTTATTCGTTATTTGACTTTCTGTAGTATCAAGATCTGATTAGTCCAAAAATCAAACCACCTGCCTTTAGGAGCAGTTCTAAAGAAGTAAAAGGAGATCCTAGAAGAAACATGTCTTTGTGAATTAGAGTCGTATTAACATTCTAATGTTTATCATTCTAGGTTGCAAGTATAATGTAGGCAATTTATTTAGGCTTAGCACATACCTGCAGCCTTGCGACTTCAATCCGCAAGAACATGGCATAAGAAAGTGAAATGAAGCAGAAAAAACTGAGCTGCAAGTTCAAGTATTAAATATTAATCTGGAACTTACCAATAACAATGAAAGACCAATTCTTTTAATGCCATTATAGAGAAAAAAAAAAGGGAACCATTACAAGAATAATCTAAATGCAACTCTAGATATCTTATACTCTCAGAATCTAATAAAAATTGAATTCTGAATATTCGTGTAAATTGATTAGAACGAGTCAAGTCTTATTAAATTTCCTCAGAAAAAACATGAAAAGGCAATATTTACATGACCAAGACTAGTGTAAGCCAAGCTTGGGAGAGAGAACCATACGGGCTAGTTGTTTCTGGTGATGACAGGTGGCCGTGAATGATTTCCTTCCAGACAACGAAGTAATAATAACAAACAAATAACAAAGGTTTCAATGGAATATATTTATAAGGAAAATGCAAAGTTACTTACAAAACACACCCTACAAGAATTGAAGTGATTCTTATATCAATCCAAAAAGCTGAGAAATTATCTCAATTCATACTCATTCCATACTCAAAATCTAACTCAACTTTAACTCAACTCTAATATCCTTAATATTATCAATATAATTAAATAATACCAATCAATCATTCTTACACATCACATTAACTTTAATTCACTATTCATCAACTCACTTAATTTTAACTAACCATCACTTCATATCATCTCTCTCATACTTTTACATCAAATCAACTTTAATTATTTTATTTTAAATATTATTATATTATAAACTCAAAATCCCATTAACAACTAGCCATAACAACTTTTTCAAAATTAACATTGATTAATAAAAAAAACCCGTTCTGAGCGGATATATTTGTATCCAAGCACGCCCTAAGGAGAGAAACCTGACCTAACCGAGGAGATCGAAAAATAACCTATAAAAATTGCCAGCAACCTCAATCTAGAAAAACCAAGATCTCAAGCTGAAACTGGTTTCCCACTCTAGCTCCACCAATGTAATGATGCTCGTCCCCCTTAAATATCTCAAATTCTTTAGCATTGTCATCGAACTGACCTTAGCCAAATTCGTGTAAAGCTATCTCCGTAAAACCAAAAAAAAAAAAAAACTTTCAACCTTATTCATACACGCTACATAACATTTTTTAGAACTGCAAGGAGAAAACTCAGATTCTTACAGTACCTCAGAGTGTTCTAAGAATTCAACTACCTGGCATTCAACAATCATTTTTTCATAATAATAATAATAATAATCACCTGCCATTTTTGCTGGCATATTTCAAGCAACTTCAAATAACCTAAGAAATGCAAGTATCAAACGACGGTTGCTTGGTAGCTTTAAATTACTTTAAGCTGTAATTTACTTGATTAAATATAGAGCCAAAAAGATCAAACACGAAATAAGATTCGACTGAGATATCCCAATTACATTTAGGTGAAAGGGACACGAGACCAAAATGAAAAAGAAATGTAAACTGGAACCATGTACCCAGCAGAAAAATACCATCCAAGAATATCTGAAGGACAAAATCCTCCAAACACTGCACGAATTAGTTGAATCGTGAGGCGCAGAAACCACAGACGATGCCGGAACCAACCCAGACGAGGCTTGGAGAGACAGCGCCTTCAAATCCTTTTCGTTTCTCAGCTTGGGCTTATTGATCGGCGAACCTAACCCTCGAGACGAGTCCACCGTGTCCCTGCTCAAATTAGCCGGCGTGGAGGTGCTTCTAGCTGCCGATTGAGACGGCGGCTTTTGAGATTTGGAGAAGGAAGCAGAAAAAGAAGAAGGGGATTTGAAGGAGGCGCTCCGACGAGTGGAGTAAAGGCTCCGATCCGATAAATTGAAGCTCAAAGCGTCTCTGCTGCTGTTGTATCCGCCGTCGGAAGCTGACGTGGCGTCGGAGGAGGATAGGGAAGAGGTGATATGGAAGGAATGAGATGGCGAGAGGCGGCGGCTGGCGGGGAAGTGTGAGGGTCGGGGATCGTCCGAGCCCGACGGCGTCGTTTTGGACTTCATGTTCAACGTCGTCAGGTCGGGATTTGCTGGGCTCGATGGATCGGAAGTGCCCTGCATGTGCGTGATTGTGTGCGTGTGTGTTATATGAGAGAGAGTGAGTGAGGGAGAAGTGAAGCTGACTTGGGGGAAAGAGAGAGTGAACAGTAATTGACTCTGTGTGTGGGTTCTACTTTATTGTTATTTCAGTTGGGACGAATTAGGAAATTTTTATTGAGAAAAAAAAAAAGAATTAGGAAATTTTTATATTAATTTTAAAAGTACTACA